ACAGCAGTGCACAAACTCTCCTCTTCATACTCACCCGCAGCACCATCGGTTTGGTTTTCAGCTTGGGATTTCTGGTCCTGCACGAGCAAGGAGGCATTGCCCACAGCCAGAACAGCAAAATCAGTAGCACCATGAGGAGAGGGGAGAAGTAGCACTAAGGCTGGAAACCAAGAGCCCTGATGGCCAGCCCCACCACACACACGTCGGGGAGGCCGGCTGGTGTACATTCCCTAGGAGAAGACACTTTTCCTAGCACGCTCCACAGACTGGTTCGAAAAGGAACTCCACCTCCCCAGCATGTGTCTTCGGTTTCTCAAGATAAGGTTTGTCTTAGACCTTGTGTGGAGTTTTGATGTTCTAAGCGCTCATCCCTCGGCCTCTTCACCCACCTCCTGGGTCTCTCATCCCTCGAGGACTTTGCTGCGTTCGAGTGACACGAAGAGCTGCTCACCCCAAGGCATCACCCCTACCCCTGCCCCAGAAAACCTGTTTGCAGTCAGACAGTGGAGGTCTCCTACAAAGCACATTCCAAGTTGGTTGTTATTGCTGCCCGTCTTTCCATGAGCTGACTTTCCATCAGCAATTCCTGAAACTGTTGATGGTGGCATCGTACCTTCAGGGCAGCTCCCTCTCTGCTGTACTCTCTTATCACAACTATCTCATAACTAATGCTCCCATTTCTACTATTTCCACCCTTATTCACTTTGCAGCTATTTTTACACTTGAAAATAAAACTGGTAATAGTGGTAGGTCATATATAACATCACACAATAAGGGAACCATTACAATTTGTTATCTATCCTAGAAAATAGAAGCGTTCTATTTTACGCATTGTGACATGGGATTAAGTGAGCATGGTCTCAAGATACAAGCTGAGAACAAAAGATTCATTTTCATCGTTTCAGAAACACATTATCAGAGCTACTGGGTGAACTAAACAGTTGAAGTCAGTAATAAATTAACTGGCAGCAATGCCAGCTCCAAAAAGAAGAGAATACATTCACAATCATGTATTAAAAACAATTAACATTAAATATTCAAAATTATCAAAAAGTATTAAAGTAATCAGATTTTAAGAATATCACCGCTCTTTCAGCTGTCTAAGTAGAGAACTGGTCAACCCTCTAAGAACATCAAGTTCTTCTGGCTTGAAATTCTACAGACAGAGTATTCCACATCAAAAATTCGAAAATCTGTAGATGGGTTTTATCTCTCTTCTCCTTACTCTACCAGGACTGACTTAAAATGCCCTTGTTTTAAAATGATGTTTTATACTTTTAATTTGCCTTCTGTCCTGCAAGCCATAATAGAGCACCCGAGAGATTCTTTTTTTTTTTTTTTTTTTTAACAACTATGGGAACTGCAGGCGTATTTACACCCCTGAAGCTGAGTTCTGCAGTCATGCAGACTCAGATGTGAAGCATTGAGAAGAACACCCGTAATTACAAAATTACAAAAGAAGGCAACATTGCAAGTTCCCAAAACACACATGCAAATGTGGACAGTGTGCTCCACATTTGTTTATTTTTTTGAGACATAGAAGTGTGGGAGAGTAAGAAATGGTGACTGTTTTAACTGAAAGCAACTCGTAGCTAAATTGCACAGAAAAAAAAAAGAAAACAGTGGTCGTTTAGGAGAAAGAAGGAAAATTGATAAGGATGCTATTTGGTACTGGGAAGCAGAAAGGTATTTTAGGAAAAAAAATCTAAAAAAATTTGCATTTCTACTATAGAGGTACATATCTGAATGTAAAACCCAATAGAACATGTGGCAGGCTAGATGGCATTGATATTACAGAAATGATTCCCATTTTTACTCTTTATAATAAAAAGAGAACAAAAGTTACACTTAGGAATAAAGTACAGCCCAAGAACAGCTTCCAAGGCAATGCTTCATGACCAAATGGGATATGCCTTAGGAATCAGGTATCTGAAATGCACACTGCACCAATATGAAATAGGAATTCTACTCTGAAATAGATCAAGTGTACGAAGTATTTGGAAAAAAAATCCTTTAAAATCACAAACTAAAGTAACTTAAAGAATGAGCTCTCCACATCATGCAGGGGTAAGTGATTTGAAAAATTGCTGTGCTGAATCTTAATAGATTTGAAAATGCAAGAAAATAGACTGATGTTGGATTGTAGCCACACTGGTATCTGCTAGGTAACAAATGTCCCACTAGGAATGTATAATGAAAAATATTCCTATATCACAAAAGGCAAGACCATTCAAACGAGTAGACTATGGCCCTGGAAATACCACTGGGAATCTCTTCTTTTTTTCCAAGAAAAAATTAACTATGAATAGCCATATACGCAAGATACCACTCAAATTTATCACAGAGCTGTTTCTACAGAGCAAATATAAAAAGCAGAATAAGAGATAGATGGAAAAAAAGGTATTTGGTCAATTCTGATCCGCTTGCCACAATATCCTGACAATTCTAGTACAGAGCAGGTTTATTAGGTGCACTCATACAAAAGATTCCACCAATCCTGCTGAGAAACTATTCCACACACTTGTTCAGACAGCTTTCCATGAAATGATGTCAGAGTTTATAGAAGCTATATTTTAGAAAGAAAATGAGAAAAAATGCTCTTCACCAGCAGAGAAGACAGATCCTACGAACACTCTGATTCAAATCAACATGCCACTATTGAGGCTTTTAGGCAACTGGTTCATCCTAATTATTATGCAACATAAAAGAGATGATATACAAGTAACATGACATCAGTTAAAGAAGAGTTTGCAGAATTTAAATTTTATTGTATATGGCAGCTTGCACTTATTTCATTTGAAACTTAAGAAGTGCACTCCTTTTTAGCCTATTTATAGAGAAGGTATTAAATAAACCTGCTGTGAGGGAAATGATAGGAAAACGAACAAAAAAACCCAACACCAAATCACAGAGGAAGGGGAAAGGGAAGGATGTTTTAGTCAGTCCATTAAGAGCCCTAATTTTGTTGCTAGTTAATTCCAGTGCCTTGCAAATACCTGGCACACCTTTTGTTTGTTTTGTTTTGTTCTGTTTGATGCACTTTTCTCTCCTTAGATAATGAGAAATAACACTTCATTCCAGTGCTGCCATACTCCCCACCAAACACAAGCAGCAGAGAGTATCTGTCCTCCCCAGAAAGGGGGAATTCCTTTGATATTTAGGAAGGGACTAACTGTGACTCCTGACCAGCACTTGGATCTATCTGTGACCCACCAGTTGCCACTTGGCTTTTAGATGAGCATTTTCTTCTGCTCGCAGCTCAGAAGAGACCTAGGCACAAGTGATGAGGGTTCAGTGATGCAATAACCACCCAATCGTGTACTAATAAATGTTTTTTTTCCCTTTTTAACAACCCTGTGGGAAATTATATATCTAAGAAAAATGAGGAAGGAACATTCTCCACACTGCAAATTGAAGCAAGTTTAGGAAATTCTATCTTCACAGTGGCCCAAGCAGGTTAATTCTACCTATTTGTGGACATGCAGTGCTTAGTCTTTAGCTACATGATTTTATGTATTTTTTTCTCCCAGAGTGTCCTATTTGGAGCACTGAATGAGTGCACAAACTCATTCTGCAATGAGCAGAAACTACTGCTGCACATAATCTGGAATTTCCTAGCTCCAAGGTGCTTGACTTTGTAGGCTCAATAATGTTTTTTCATTTAGTAATTTTAAATATATAATTATTCAGATGGATTAAACTTGCTTTTTGCTTACATAGTCTTTTTCTGTTTACATATCATACCCTAGCCTAAATAAATGCTTAGACAAAGGCCAAGCTGGCGGGTAGCCCAGAACGTAGCTGTTACCAAACTGACAGAGACCACCTTCAGTTTGTTGAAATGTCTAAATATTATATTTGAGATGCAACTACAATTTAAAAGGAGATCCTTACTGAAAGAAAAACTGCCAGAGTTTAGAGCAGTATAAACCAGTTGCTGGATGAGATGATGGGAACTGAATGAAATACGGCTTTCGAATCAATCTGACTTACACAGCTCTCCATTAGTGTGAAGTACCAAACACTTATGGACAGGAAGTATCCTCAAGTTACCATGTAAATAACTGATGAGTTTAGTTTATGTTAACAACTAACTGCTTACAACCTTCTAATAAAAAAAACACCATCTAAAATATGGCTAAGAGCATCTGAACTTCTCCCCCAAAGTCACTAATTCTCATAATTCTTAAAATGACTTTTCCTTTTTTCCCTAGAGAATCTTACATATGGCCTAAAAAAATGTACACTAGATGTTAGCACAGTCAATTTAAAGATGGACTGTAGAGACAGACAGAAATGGTTCTTTTCCCCACCTACGAAAGATCTGAAAGGTGCAAGGACTCTTTTAAAGTTTTCTTCTATTTGTTTCCTTTTTTTTTCTTTTTCCTTTGAAATCTTTTGAATATCTCTTTTAGACTGTTTAAGACTGTTGGAGGACAAGATCAGCATGAAAGTTGCCCTCAATTCCCACCTGAAACAGCTGGGTAATAAGTGATTGATAAAGAGATTTTTTTCTCCTGGCCTGTCTGCCAGAAGCTTCAATTAAACACTGTAAGAACAGCCAAACAAAGTGAGTTTTGCACAGTCTAACAATTCCTTTCCCCACTCAAACACCAATTTCTTGTGACAGATGATGGCTTCATGTCACTTGTTTTCCATCTACCTATAATCCTCCAGTAAAAAGTGGATAGGCAAAACCTGATGCATGCATTAAATTAAACAAAACCTTCACAGAAGCCTGCCTCTAAAACCAAAGCAAGCTCTTTGGGCTTTCCTAATATACCTTAAAAATCCGAAAAATGGCCACATAGAGAGTTTTGTCTTATTTCCCGGTCACTCCTTAGATCTAATCCCATTACAGTAAAATAGGCAAATCCCAGTGATAAGCACATGCCATATGAAAAGCAGAGATGTGTCTAGATTTGAAATGTTCTAATGCTGACATTCTGGCCCTACTAGATATTAATAAAATCAGAGGAGTGTGGGTGAAGGTATTATACCTGGTCATGGCTGGCTTCAATGGAGCTTCCGATACCTTGGAAAGTCATCTGCACAGGAGACAGTGTCAAACAGGTCATACACTCTTTGCCATTTTGTCTATCACTGTAGTGTACCTATAACAGAATAACATACGTAATCTGCTAAACACCAGGTTTGCACAAGGGAGTCATGCTAAAATACTCTGTCCCTTTTCAACAAGTTTATAAGAAGAATTCCGTACATTTACATCGAATTCATCTTTAATACAAAACAAGGATACTCTAGGTAGACACGTACTGAACTGGGGGCAAGTTTTCTGTGACATGTTTGTTGAACAGTTTTTAAGTGCTACATTCTTCAGTTCCTGAGACCTTTGGGGCTGAATTCAAGGCATTATATTTATACAGCTCTAAGAATTAGTCTCAAGTTAGAGTTTCCAACCTTGACATTATCTTAACAGCAATTTGTAGCTTAATTATAGAACATCCACAAAATCATACCTCCAAAAACTTGGCAATAGTAGTTTTAATTTTTCAATTGCAATGTCTTTTTAGTGAAATAGACTAACATTTTTGATATTGCTATGTAAGATTGTATATTTGAACTTGATTTTTTAATTAAATCAAAACAACAGATAACGTGGAGAACATTCTTCTTGAGATGCCTAGGTCTAGGCTATCCTTTTCTAAGGGCAATTCATTCCCTACTAACGTCTAGATGTGCACACTAAACCTTACTCTTGCAAGAAATGCAGAAGAAGACTCTGCTTCTACCAAAATTACTTTTCTTGCCTTGTAGCCACCTTAGTATAGTTCTTAAGTCCCCTAAAGAAAGGACAGATTTTAGATTGTTGAGACAAAAGTAATTTAAATGTTGCCAGTGTTTCTTTACTAGGAACAGGTTGCCACTCATGCTGAATTGCTGCAATGCTGCAATCTGCTACGCAGCTCCGGGTTTCAAGGCAGGCAGATCAAGCACTTTGTTCTACAGCAGAGGTGGAATTCAGTTTATAGGGGTAATTTACACTGGCTGTGTGACCCCTGTCAGAAATGGAAAGCGAGATCAGCTCTGCTGGAGACAGACCTTTTATGTTAATATTTATTTACAACTGCACAGATCTCAGGGAAAGTTATATCATAAAGCCTCATCTTTACTTTTAGGCTACAAAATTAAACACATTTTTTTTGAAGAGAACTAGGAACTGTATTAGACTTATTCCTGTGAAAGGGATACAGAGATGCCCATAATATGTAAGTGTACACAGTGTGTACTATCCCCATTTTGCCTAACTCGTCTCTGCCACAGGTGCAAGCTGGGAACAATCCACCTGAAGCAAAACCAATGCAAAACTCACTGAGAGAGAGGAAAAGCAAGTCCTTGGCACATTGTAGAATTAGTTTTATGACAGACAACACACAAAGACAGATCAGCTGTGGTCGAAAGTAAGATACAGAACACAAGCTTCTCCTTTTACTGTGGATAGAAATACTGACTTAATTCAGCCCTTCTTAAAGCTGTCTGGTCCATCCTTTCTTCCTCTCTCCAGCCTCACAATATGTGCCTACTAAATTGTCCGTGGCTCCCTGCCAGAAAAGCCATACTGCTCACTTAGAAACCACAAGAGGCCCCTTCACATATACAATGCTTTAACCCTGATTAATCGAAAGAGGTATGAAGGTATGAAATCTGGCTTGCAAATATCACCTTAAGTCCTTTAAACGCCAGGGACTGCCGTCAGGAAAAGCACTCAGCAAGGCCCGGAAGGGCGGTATGGGGCTGCAGGCTTCACGTCGCGTCACGCCTACTGCAGGCCATGAGCTGCGCGAGCGGCACCGAGAGGCAGCGGGCTGAGGCGGCCCCGCCGAGCGCCGCGAGCCGCTTCCCAGAGAAGGGACAGCACAGAATCACAGAATGGTTGAGGTTGGAAGGGACCTCTGGAGATCATCTAGTCCAACCCCCTGCTCCAGCAGGGACACCTAGAGCACGTGGCACAGAACGCCATCCAGGAGGGTCTGGAAGATCTCCAGAGAAGGAGACTCCACAGCCTCTCTGGGCAGCCTGTTCCAGGGCTCTGTCACCCTCACAGGAAAGAAGTTCTTCCTCACATGGAGGTGGAACTTCCTGTGTTTCACCTTGCAGCCATAACGCATGGAGGCGGGGGGTGATGGAGCTCTGGGAACTGCTGCGTGTTGCAGGCTGGGTGGCCGTGCACACGGTGCGGGTGCAGTTGCCCCTCATTCATGTCCTCTGGGCTGCAGGCTCGCAGGACAAGACACAGTGAGAAGAAAGATCACACCAAGTACTGCGTGGTGTCATAATCTGAAGCAGCAGGAGATTCAATCTGTGACTCCTTAGTAGTCCCAAGATGAGAATACAGTAAATCTCTTCAGCCTAATTTCTTTCTAGGTTTCAGCTACTGAAGGAGTTTCTTGATGCACTTTTGCCCTCATCTTACTGGATAGAGACTATTGCTTAGTAGTTCTCTAGTTATCTCATAGCATGTTGAAGCTCTTCAGTTTAACCAAAATAAACATTTTATGTGCCAATGATATAAATCAGTGATATAAAAACAAACGACTGGACTTTGAATAGGAAACAAAATAGAAGTTTGTCCTTTCATCAAATCTCTGTAGGCTACAGATCTCTGTACAGTCAACAGAAACACTCTGATTTCCTCTACACATTTTGGCATGCGTATGTGTAAAATCCCAGTAAATCTGTTGTTATTAATTAGTACAGCTGTTACATTCTCAAGCTCTCTCTATTTTAATTCTCTTTCTTCTGTTTATTTGATCTAGGATCTAAAGGCTGTTTTCTGTCAACCAAGCAGAATGCCCAAAATACACACTTCGGAAAAAATAGTAGTAGTCTAATAGCTATGGAATAGTCTGAATAGCAGCAGATGCTTCTAGATTTTCATCCAGAAGTATGCCGTAAATGTTTCAGTCTATATGCCCATACTAGCATGAATAAGTATGGGAGGAACCCGATTATCTATAAAACTGGTTTAAGGGTATCATCTAAAGCAAGAGCACAGAGCAAATGTTTTCTTCGGTCTCTATCATCAAGGAGTGGCAACAGAAGGCTGGCCAAGTGCTCCAAGAGTACAGCCATTATTAAGATTATTAAGATTAATAACTACAATAATACATTGCTTTTTAAAGTTACTAAGTGCCTATAGCTTAAGATTGTGAGTGCATAACTACTGCTCATCTTCACAATAGCTCTGTTAGGCAGGTAAGGACAACTTGTGGGCTGAAGTTAAATGAGTTGCCTAAATTCACTCAAAATTGGCAGCAGTGAATGGCAGCATTGGGACTATAACCCATGATTAAGGCCTTGAGCTTAACCACAATTGGGCATTTTCCCTTTCCATATATTAGGAGTAAATATAAAAGGGTTATGAAAGCAATTACGAGCCAAGTGCAGTGCCTAATTTTCAGGCTTTAATTTTTTTGTAATTAAGGCACATTCATAAATTAGCTCAGTGCACTTTCAGGATTAAGCAGCAATGAAATTTCTCTCATTAAAATTCAGAATGTTTTATTTGGATAACATATAAGAGGCTTTACAGAACAACATAAGGATTTGGTTCGAAAATAATGTCCAGGTTAGCGTACTGATGGGTAGAAAGGTTGTGCAAGTTTCTGAGCATAATTCAAGGATCCAGCCTCGGGCTGAGTGATTTACATGTAATTCTCTTCAAAGGTACATCTACACTGCACCAAGCAGTGCCACAACAAGATCCTGGCAATAACTCTGAGTCTGCTCATTTATTGGAAGAAAGCATACAGCACTGCTAGCTTTTCTCCTGGGTAACTACACACTTGTAGGATCGGAGATAAATCATTTCTAACTAGCTCAGGAATCCCAAACACAGGCTCCATTGTTCTGCAAAGACACAGCACAAAACCTCTCACTATAAAATGCAAAGTGCATCCCAGGCATCAAAATAATGAAGTAAATTCCGGATGATTTTTTTTTCTGTAAGTGCATGCCATGCACATATACATGTAGGCCTTTATGCTTGATATTCTCAGGAGTTGCCACTATGCTCCCTTTTAGAAAATTCCTTCAGGCAGGAATAAAACAAGTTGTATGGTATGACTATGCATGCAGGGCTCCTACAAAATGGCAAACGTATACTGAAATATATATGATGGTCTGAATCCATTTTACAACTATGTCAAAATTTGGCCCTTGTTTGCAATATTTTACATTACTGAAGAGATGCAAATATTTTGAAGTACATTTATAGCACCCCATAAAGAAAGATATAAAATGAATGTTTGCAATGTTACAACTGCATGTGGAATGGCATAGCCAAAATTCTCAATCTTCTATGTTTTTTTATAAAGGAAAAACTAAATTGCACTGTGTAAAACTGCATAAGAAATTAAAGGTAAGGCTATTTCTACAATAATACTGTTCAAAAAGTAGAAAAATGTCCTTTTTTGTAGTTATGCCAATTCTCCTTCAATCTATCTTTACTATATGCTCATAGAAACTGCAAAAATATTGCAGGATTTCTCTTGCAAGAAGCAAGCCTAAAACACTGTATCGCTATATAATTACTTCAGACAAGAGCCACAGTCAACCTGTATATATTTTTCCGCAAATACAATGCCCCTAACTTCAAGCACACGAGCAGGTTCCGGGTCCTCAGCGGGCACTCCTGAATTCAAGCATGCATCTTTTTGCACCAACGCAGGCTAAGGGGGAGCTGTGTTTTACTGACTCACAACGCAGGAAGGGGAGATATCTGCTATACTCATACATAACAACTAAGCTTAACTGTAAGATACTAAACTACTGCTTGAATCAAGCTAACTACACAGAGACCAAAGTGCACAAAAATAAAGGCTAGTATTTTCACACATTGCTGCTTAGATGTTCACTGTTTGAGACACAAACTCAGTCTGGCCAAATGCTTTCTTTCTTGAACATTTATTAACTTAAATAAAATCATATGAATTACTAAAAGAAAGAAGTCATCTGTGACACTGGAGTTCATGTTTCCAAACCAAAAACTACTCTGAGTCAAAGCATCAGCAGGAGTCTTAGAATGCTAGACAGAAATAAACTAGGTAATAAAATGCCATTATGTTCAGCAGTGCACAAATCTTCTGGATTG